AATCATCCTATGAAGTTTGAACATTGTGGGCCAAATGGAACTTAACATATGCTCCGGCAACTGTTTTCAGTATCAAGGTAAAAGTGACCTTCACCTTTGACCTTTTGACCCCAAAATCAACAGGGGTCTTCTACCCAATATGGACAATCATCCTATGAAGTTTGAACATTGTGGGTCAAATGGGACTTAAGTTATGCGTGAAAACATATTTTTCAGTATCAATGTAATAGTGACCTTCACCTTTGACCTTGTGACCCCAAAATCAATAGGGGTCTTCTACCCAATATGGACACTCATCCTATGAAGTTTGAACATTGTGGGTCGAATGGAACTTAAGATATGCTCTGGAAACTGTTTTCAGTTATAAGGTAATAGTGACCTTTGACCTTTTGACCCCAAAATCAATAGGGGTCTTCCACCCAATATGGACAATCATCCTATGTAGTTTGAACATTGTGGGCCAATTGGAACTTAAGTTATGCTCCGGAAACTGTTTTCAGTATCAAGGTCATAGTGACCTTGACCTTTGACCTTGTGACCCCAAAATCAATAGGGGTCTTCTTCCCAATATGGACAATCATCCTATGAAGTTTGAACATTGTGGGTCGAATTGAACTTAGGTTATGCTCTGGAAACTATTTTCAGTTATAAGGTAATAGTGACCTTGACCTTTGACCTTTTGACCCCAAAATCAATAGGGGTCTTCTACCTAATATGGACAATCATCCTATGAAGTTTGAACATTGTGGGCCAATTGGAACTTAAGTTATGCTCCGGAAACTGTTTTCAGTATCAAGGTAATAGTGACCTTGACCTTTGACCTTGTCACCCCAAAATCAATAGGGGTCTTCTTCCCAATATGGACAATCATCCTATGAAATTTGAACATTGTGGGTCGAATGGAACTTAAGTTATGCTCCGGAAACCGTTTTCAGTTTTAAGGTAATAGTGACCTTGACCTTTGACCTTTTGACCCCAAAATCAATAGGGGTCTTCTACCCAATATGGACAATCATCCTATGAAGTTTAAACATTGTGGGCCAAATGGAACTTAAGTTATGCTCCGGAAACCAAATTTCTGACGGACGTACGAACAGACAGACAGACGGACGCCAGGGGGTATAACATAATATGCCCTTTCGGGCATATAAAAAAGTATCTAATGGTAGAAAATTATTGAATTACACCAAACAATTTATGATACATGTCAATTAAGGTAACTTGAGAACAAGAGCTGTCGATAGGACAGCAACGCTCTACTATTCTTAGTACTTGATAGTAAAAAAAATGCTTGATTCAGTTACCTCCTCCTGTTTACAGGTTGGGGTCATGATGGTGAACAAGTGTGCAAAGTTTCAAAGCCATATGTCAATGGACTCTGAAAATATTTGAACTATTACAAAAACTTTAACGTAAATTCTAAGTCGAAAAAGGGGCATAATTCTGTCAAAATGCTTGAAAGAGTTACCTCCTCCTGTCTACAGGTTGGGGTCATGATGGTGAACAAGTGTGCAAAGTTTCAAAGCCATATGTCAATGGACTTTGAAAATATTTTGAACTATTACAAAAACTTTAACATAAGTGGTTACGCCAACGCCGACGCTCGGGTGACTGCAATAGCTCTACTTATTCTTATCGAATAGTCGAGCTAAAAAGTAAGTGTGACCAAAGAATAGAGAAGATGGCCCATATATTCCACAGGGAGCAAAATATATATTTCTTGGAGCAAAAAGAAACAAGCAACTATCAGCAGACAGTGAGTGAAGATCTTATAAGAAACCTCTCCTATTAAAAAAAAAAACATTCATCATTTTCATGGAAATTTTCAAAATAAGTACCCACTCAATAGAGAACCATTGCAGGCACACCTATGCTGTCTGATTCTGGTTTGCAATATGGGGTAAATTCAGTTGTTAAAGTTACATTTTAACCAGAAGCTTACAAAAGTGAGACAAACTTGGTAAGTTGTTACAGCATCAAATATCTTATAAACATGAGTATGCAATTTCTCTAATAACATGGGGAAAAATGCAATCAGTGGTTTTTACCTATTCATATAAATGTATGTAATATGTCTGTATCATGCAAAAGGTTAATAATAATTTTGTGGGAGAAATTTCGCTATCATATTTCCATATCCTCCCTTTGATGTCATAGGTCATGTGACAGCATGTTTTGATATACAATATTAAAAGGAACATTAGCAATTACAAGCATATCAAAGTAACTGCTCTGGAGATGATTAAATAATAAAGTGTAAGATAGAGCTGTTTGAAATGAGAGACTTTATTTGAACAGTTCAAGTAGCATTTTGCACAGATTTCCTTTAATTACACATCTTTAAGGCAATTTTGCACCGATTTCCTTTAGTTAAACAACTTTGGGTTAATAAGGGTTGTTTGTGAGTAGAAATGAACAGATGTTAGTTATCTAATCAAAGCTTTATTATAATCAAATCTTATATGTTTTATTATTACACAGACACTAATGTTTCCTTAACATATTTGTGAAACTATGGATATTTATGAATTAAAACCACAGGCCGAATGTTCAAGTCTTGTTTTGGACATCTGACATTCAAGTGTGAACCTGACCTTGAAACTACCAGCATAAATCTTGTGCTTTATATTATTTGTCACTTCTATACAAGACTATTTTACACCATATATCATGTTTATATAAATTGTCACACTTGACAAAATTGAGAGTGACCAAAAGGTTGTGATTGTGCTTCTTCTTGGGACTAATCTGTGTAACATTATCATGACCAACCTATAGGATTCAAACCCACAACCCTTGAGTTGACAAGCAGACACCTTAACTTCTTGGCTACTATTCTGCCTGCTTAATGGAATTCTGCTAAACTAGGCCTTTATCATGATGAATATTGCCCACAAATGATTTTTTTTTTCATAAAAAAATTTGTCTGTCTGAAAAGTATGCGAGGATATGTTGTTGGCATCACTACAAAAATCAGAGGAAAGTTACAAATGCTTTGTAGCTTCAACATCAGAATAATCAGAATACATAATAATACTGCAAAGCAGATCAGAACATGTGACAGGATTTTCTGTAGAAATTCTACTCATAATTCTGCTCATTACATCTAGATAATGTATGGCTGGCAGTGGGAGATGTATTCTGACATATTACAAGCCTTCTCATAGAAAACAGACAGGGTATTTAGACAGTAAATGCTCAGTCTATGCTAAATATCCTGTCAGAAAAAATACACTCATTTCACCTGTGCACTAACAAACAAAAACAATCTTAGCTGTCAAGCTTGACTGTGTCCATAAGATTGTTAGTAAAACTTATGAATTAATAGAGACAATCAAATTTATTTAGAACTGTTCCTGATTGTTAATTTTGGATAAAATCAGTCTCAAAATATCATAAAATATTTCTTTTTTGTTTTTTTCTTCTTCACATTTAATAAATACCACAACTGAAGCATTTTTACCAAAATACATTTTCTTGGAATGAACTATGTTTCTGCTATAGAAAAGATGCCAAATGGGTTTTCTGGTTAGTATGTAAAATAGGGTAGTGTGTAAAGCTGCTTTACAAATTACAAATTGCTTGGCTTGATTAAAAATTTAAAAAATCTCCATACATTAATTTTTAGTGTCTTTGTGCTTTTAATTGCTTGATTAAATTTTGGAACTGTTTTTTTATATGTGTAAATGTGTAATGGACTAGTCCAGATATCAATTTGGACCTGTCCATTAATATTTATAGGGATTTCAATATTATAATTAAATATCCAACACAGTAGAATGCGGTCAGACTGCACTGGTAGCAGTTTACTAATTAAGGTAGACCATGGGTAATGCATTACCTCCACTTTGAAGAGTATTCAAATAGGCTAAAATCGCTTGTAAACTACATTGAAATTGAGGGGCGTGGGTTCAAACCCCAGAAGGGGCAACTTTTTTTTTCTTTCTTTTTTCTTTTTAACATTATTTATGTATCTCTCTGATCCATTATTGAAGAAAAAAAAATTTATTTAAATTATGTAATTATTTTAGGTATTTTTTTTGCTAAATAATGCCAAAATTTATAGCAAATATGATACCAGATATTTTCAAAGTTCGATAAAATAAAAACTACACGGTAAAAGTATTTTATATTTTGCATGATCAACTAATATACCTTTGAAAAAATTTAGGCAAACTTTGAAAACAGACCCTCATTTCGATAAATTTTAGGGATAATTTGAATAAGGCATTTTAGATAGGGAAATGGTAAAATTAGTGTTAAAAGTGGGCGGGGTAGGGTAACAATTTTATACATATTAAGAACATTTTGTTTACAAACAAACATTTTGCTTGTGTAATGTGTTACCTGAATGTTATCATTTGTTTCTTAACAATGAGCAACAGAAAAACATATTTTATAATGATGATATTACAGATTATTTACAGTTTCCTCATTTCTGAAAACAAGCTCTTCTAATGGCAAGGTCTTAGTTCAGAAAATTGTCCATAACTCATAAACCACGCGGTAAATTTTATTTAAATTTTGCATACAGGTGACCTTGAAGACATACAACTGTCCTATGTTGTCAATTTTACAGTTCCTTATGGTGCCCATTACCCATGGTCTACCTTAAACAATGCCACACAATCATAAATCACATAAATCATACCTAAATATATTTAATGTTGTTTTGTGTAATTTCAGTATCGAAAATGTTGTTTTGTGTAATTTCAGTATCAAAAATGTTGTTTTGTGTAATTTCAGTATCAAAAATGTTGTTTTGTGTAATTTCAGTATCGGGAGACAAAATGTAGTATTCAACCCGATATAAGTAGAGTTTGACTTCCCTTAATTAGGCACATATTGTCACTTTCGTGCAGTAACTGGGTAACTCCTTATGTAACTTCATAGGAGTTTATAATCCTGTTAATGCACTAAGGTAACAATTTATATTAAATAGGAAATAGACCTAGAATTAATACAGATTACCATTGTTCTGAAATCAAACTATAATTTACCTCAATGTTGAGCGTTGTTTCATGTTCTTTTTCGCCTTTCTCCTTCTCATCACTCTGGTCAAACGTGAACACCTTGCCACTACCATTCTCTGTTTTCATGGGAGGTAACTCCACTGAAAAGATGATTTAAATCAAATATAATAGCGATAACTACTGGCTTGATTTATTCTCCTACTTTACATTTTTGTGGTTCTGGTGAAGGTCAGGATTGTATGTGTTAGGGTGGGTCGAGTGAAGGGCAGGGGGGGGGGGGGGGTGGTGTGTTTACTTACAGTAAGGCACTGATAATTTATGCCCCTTTAAGATGCACATGGGCAATATGAAAAGTTTTAACATGTCTACAAGTTCAAAGCTATAGTTTTTATTTCTGAACATTGATGAAACATTTTTTTTCCATCATCAATCTGACCTATTTAACAAACATATGAACAAAGTTCTGCCAATTTAATCTGTTCATACCAATGAAAACAGTCATATCAACTCTTTTCACTTCAAGGTTGCAAACCACTAAATTATTGAACGGCACTAAAAATGTAATTACACGCTTCAAAATTCACGTACACTGTATCACATAACTTCATTAAAATCTAATTGGTTCATAAACCGTAAAGGATTCATAGGAGATATACCACTTTAATATTCTCTTGAAATTAACATCTAGATCATCCTTTTTTTATTTTTTATTTTATTAAAGCATCTCTCTGACAAGACTACGTCTCGTGGTAATTAATTCTTTATGAATACGATATTAAGTCATAGATCCGGCGGGAATCCAGTGTTCAAAGCGCCCAGTTACACAGATCAATTTATTATTTTAATTTTCAGAAACACAATATGCTATTATCAAACTTAATGATGTATCCTTTTAACTTCACTCAGAATACGGTATTGTCATTAAAGGTACCGTAAACTTCCTAATCAGAGCACTTGCTAACAGGCGCACCACTGCAGTTTCAGGTATAACTTTGTTTTATTTCAGGTCAAAAATACATTGTAAAGTTCATATTACTGAGAATTTACAATATTTTTAAAGTTTTATTCTTAACCAAAGAAAATCATATGGTCTTTAACCTTCCATAGCTTTTCTTGTGCATAAATTTGGGTTTCATCTTGTGCAATCTTCAGTCCCTTTTCATGTTATTTAATTATTAAGCTAATAATAATCATTAAGATTGTTGTTATAAAATATTAAAATTTAAAAAAAAATCTGGCTCCTATGAGAACTGTGTTTTTAGATGCTTTTTTGAACACACTGTTTGCCTATAAAATAACACAAAGACATTCAAATGCACTAAAATGACTGTTTTGAACTTACAGACAAACAATACAACAAATAAAATATACTTAAACTTCAAACTGTTATTGTTTAATCAAGCCATGCTGTTTTTTGATAAGCAATCTGTTTTCTTGTATAGACAAACAGAAATGGTGATCAACATTTCACTTTTAAAAAGTTTTGATTGAATTTTTTTTAGAAAACTAAGTTTTATGAATAAAATTGTAAAACAGATCAAACAAAACTTCCAAGTGACAATAAGATGGTCCTGGAGATAAAAACTGAAAGAGATTCTATCCTATACCAATTGAGGGTACCATGGCGCACTTACAATACCTTATACGGTAACTTCAGCAAAAAATATTAATATCATCAATTCTTGTTCATTTCAGAAATGAAATTGTAATTTCATCCAATGATCAAACAGAATTGTTATTTCACATTGTGGAATCTTATAAAATCATCAATAAAACGAGAGGTTCATTTTGCATGCTGCTACGACAGACTATAAAAACCTCCGCGGAAAAAAAATGGGATAAAAAATTACGAGGGAATTTTAGTCCATCAAAGGAAACGAAAGCTCTCTGGCTGTCAATGATACTTAAAGAGTGGCTGTCTTGAATAATTCACAGACAAATTCGGTCTAATCTTTCCATTTAAGGGCGTTAATTACATGTTTCTCGCTTACATCTTCAGGATGTTATTCTCCATAAAATCAGTAAGGAACAGACAGATGTCTGGGTTTTTCATGTTATAATTTCGCTTAATTCCCTCAATTAGCTAGAATAGATATGACACTCTGGTCTTATTAAAAAGTCGATAAACAAAAACATACTGTTATATCAACCTAGTTTCTATGAACCCAAAGTTGTAACAACTCCAGTCTCCCACTGACCTACCCCCTTTCACATCCTGAACAAAAGGTGCATGAAACAGATGTTTTAAAAAATTCCAGTCAGATTTGGTTAACAGATGAATTTGTACCTTAAAGCTGCTGGATTATTACAAACGTTATTCTTTCAATTTAGACCCTCCTTATAACAAAGATAATCATATTCAATATAATTATAGCCTCATACATTACTTTATAAATAACAAATAAAACAATTTACATTAAACGAAATATTTAAACAAACAAAAGAAAATTATAATAACATATTTTTTTTAAACATGACAATTAATGTCAAGACAGTGCCAGTGGGCAGTAGAAAAATTTATCAGGGTTAGGGTTAGATTTAATCAAAATTTATTTCTTATAAATTATGTGTACAATACAATATTACAATAAATATGAATTGAAGTCAGGCTATCAGGTACAATTAAAGCTTTAAAACTTACATAAAACTCACTCCAGAAGGTTAGACTGGTTTGAATGTCATATGGCAACTTGACCATGTCACAGATCACATTACAAACAATTTAAAAGTTTTAAACTTCATGACTGTTTGAACAGGAAATATGAACGACCATATACAAAAATCACAGGAAAATAAAGGGAAAAAGGATAGTCTGTGTTCAAAGGGAAGCCCTGGCTACATAGACCAATAAATGTTAAGATAAAAGGTCTGAAACCACTAAAATGTATTCTTTACATAAACCCACAACAACCCAAAACATGACTTTTTCAAGCTTAAATCTCAATATACTTTCTTCAAGAATGGTCTTTAATGTGTGAACTTCAAAGGGTTACATATAATGTTTTTTTCAAAGATCAAAATAGTTTTATGTGTTTTGAAGGTGTATATAGGGACTAATTTATTTGTATACATATACAATGTATATATAAAAGACTAGAACTCCGCGAGTCGGATGTGTCGCCTTGTGAACAATGTAGTTTAGGGGAAATGGCCAGGACAAAAATGAAATATGAAAAATAACAAAGGGCAATAACTAAAAAAATAATAAGTGCAGAGCAGCAGTTTCTGTACACTGCACTTCTTATCAATTAGATCTATCATTCTATGATGTTTCAAGTCCATAGCTTTCATACTTGAGGAGAAATGACCAGGACAAAAATAAAGTAAGAAAATCAACAAAGGGCAATAACTCAAAAATAAGAAATGCAGAGTATCAGTTCTTATGCACTGCACTTCTTTTTAATGAGATCTATCATCCTATGAAGTTTCAAGTCCATAACTTTTATACTTTCGGAGAAATGGCCTGGACAAAAATTAAGTATGAAAATTAACAAAGGGCCATAACTCAAAAATTAAGAAATGCAGAGTACCGATTCTTGTGCACTGCACTTCTTAATAATGAGATCTATCATCCTATGAAGATTCAAGTCCATAGCTTTTATACTTAAGGAGAAATGGCCAGGACAAAATTAAAGTATGAAAATAAACAAAGGGCAATAACTCAAAAAAATAAGAAATGCAGAGTACCAGTTCTTGTGCACTGCACTTCTTCTTAATGAGACCTATCATCCTATGAAGTTTCAAGTCCATGGCTTTTATACATTAGGAGAAATGGCCTGGACAAAAATAAAGTATGAAAATTAACAAAGGGCAATAACTCAAAAATTAGGAATTGCAGAGAACTGGTTCTTGTGCACTGCACTTCTTAATAATGAGATCTATCATCCTATGAAGTTTCAAGTCCATAGCTTTTTTTAGTTGAAGAGAAATGGCCCGGACAAAATTAAAGTATGAAAATTAACAAAGGGCAATAACTCAAAAAATAAGAACTGCAGAGTACCGGTCCTTGTGCACTGCACTTCAGGTTATTGAAAGAAGCATGCATACCAAGTTTGAAGTCATTCAGACTTATAGTGACTGAGTTATGCTCCGGACAAGCTTTAGAGGACGCCGACAACGACGCCGACACAGACGCCGCCGACACCGCCGACAAAAGTAACCCCTATATGTCACCTTTTCAAGGCGACACAAAAAATTGTATTAAGTTAATGATCTATATTCACATATATTTCATATAATGCTTATAAAAATCAGATCATTACTTTTTTTATTCACAGTAATTGTTTTTTTGTTTTTTTTAATTCTTATATAAAAATGGAAAAAATGACTTAAGTATCAGTATTATCAAACACTCAACACTCGTGAAATTCATAAAGCCCTCAATTTGTTCTTTAAATATATTTAACAAAAGAAATTAATAAAGCCCTCAATTTGTTCTTTAAATATATTTAACATGAAATTAATAAAGCCCTCAATTTGTTCTTTAAATATATTTAACATGAAATTAATAAAGCCCTCAATTTGTTCTTTAAATATATTTAACATGAAATTAATAAAGCCCTTAATTTGTTCTTTAAATATATTTAACATGAAATTAATAAAGCCCTCAATTTGTTCTTTAAATATATTTAACATGAAATTAATAAAGCCCTCAATTTGTTCTTTAAATATATTTAACATGAAATTAATAAAGCCCTCAATTTGTTCTTTAAATATATTTAACATGAAATTAATAAAGCCCTCCATGACTGTGTTCTTTAAATATATTTAACATGAAATTATTAAAGCCCTCAATTTGTTCTTTAAATATATCTAACATGAAATTATTAAAGCCCTCCATGACTGTGTTCTTTAAATATATTTAACAAGAAATTAATAAAGCCCTCCATGTGTTCTTTACATATATTTAGCTTGAAAACATTATAAAGCCCTCAATGTTCTCTTAAATACAATTGGAACATGAAATTTATATAGCCCTTAACAAGAAATTAAGAGAACCCTCAATGTGTTTATAATAAAATGAAATGAATGTCATAGACAAGAAATTATCACTGCTTGCACTGGAAGTCGGCTAATATCAGAAAAATCTTGATGATAATTTACATACATTTATACATACAAACTGACTAGTTAAGTGAAATGTTTCAACATCAAAAGCTGTAACTATTACAGCTGGAATTTTTCAGTACCTTCAAAATTTTTAATTCCCCTTAAAGAAAATGCATCGCAATAAATGCTTTAGATTTCTACCCTAAAAAAAAGGGAAGTAGTTGCTTATTAAAAGGGGAAAAAAGGGAAAATGTTCCATTCCTTTATAGCCCAAAAATCTGACTTTAAGTATGTGTTTTTTCCCAATAATAAATTTTAAAAGGGCAGGGATTTTTTTAATTTTAAAATTTTTCGTAAAACTTTTTCACTTGTTTGGGTTTTGGTTAAATGAAAAATGTCTTTTCTGAAAAGGCAAAAAAATTGTCCTTTGTTTTTTGTTTGGTCCCCTGTAGATAAGGACACGGGAAACTGTAACTGGAGCATTTTGACTTTTTTTAAATATTCACTTTTTATTTTCTCCCCGCTAGCCAGTCTAGAATTCAACTCTTTTTTAATACTCTTGCAAATTTAATTGTGTGAGTACATGAAATGTTTAGCTTGCAATTTAAACCAACTATTTCAAAGTGCATTTTATCAGACAAAAAGTATCGTTTATGTCTGCCTTTGTTTCCTGTTGTACAGTAATTTTCTCAATTTTTGTAAGAGTACAATAAATATATGTATGTAGCAAATTGTTCCCTTTTTTCCAATTCCATTAAAATTTCATTAAAAAAATCTACATCTATTAATGGATATTCAAATTAATTGCATCACTTGTAAAAGTTTGCTTGTTTAAAGATTCCTGGAAAAACAATTTGCATTTTTCTGTTTAGACACTTGTGGATTGGCAAAATTCAAGCCATGAAATAAGCCATTCTTGACGATTTCTATGTGAAATGATTTAGTAATTTGAGCACCAATTACGCCGGTACTCAGGCACTTGTATCTTTCAATTGTCTCTCATGAACTGAATCAAACAAACAAACTAAGTCCGCCACTTTCATCCTACATTGTTGTTTATATAGCTGTTCAAATTACTTTAACATAGGGGGGGGGGGGGGGGACTTATAATCTGCCCTTCACCAGAATATGTTTTACCTTTCAGAGCTAGATTACTATCCTTGTTTGTCTCTTTAACTTCTGTATTGTCTTGTTTATCTTCCAGACAGATTGATAACTCCTGAAAATATACAAAATATAAACAACTTTAATCTTTCCTAAGCTAAATAACAACTTATTCCTATGCTAAATAACAACTTTAACCTTTTCCGTGCTAAATAACAACTTATTCCTATGCTAAATAACAACTTTAACCTTTTCCGTGCTAAATAACAACTTATTCCTATGCTTAATAAAAACTTTAATCTTTCCCATGCTAAATATCTTAATAGAGACTTGTCTGCCTTTCCCGTGCTAAATAACAACTTATTCCTATGCTAAACTAGACCTATCACTGAAGGTGATTAATACCCCCACCAGCAAATTTGACTTTTTGAAAAATAAGTAGTCTGAAGAAAAATTTCAACACAAACTATCAACTGTGTACAAAGAAATATTTCAAATAATTGTAATCCCTACTGGCGTCTCTGAATAAGCTTGCTTTTCACAAAGTTTGAATACAATATCTCATTTCTAACTCTAGTTATTATCCAGAAACCATTTTTCTATTTTTAGTAACACTGTAACAGTGACCTTGACCCTAGGGGGTCCAAATGCAATACCAACCAAGGTCTTCATATAAGCTTGCTATACACCAAATTTGATTCCTAACTCAAGTTATTGTCAGAAAACCATTTTTCTATTTTTAGTAATAGTGACCTTGACCCCAGTGGGCCCAAATGCAATACCAACCCAGGTCTTCATATAAGCTTGCTATACCCCAAGTTTGATAACAATATTTCATTCCTAACTCTAGTTATTGTCCGGAGATTTTTCTATTTTTAGCAACAGTGACCTTGACCCCAGGGGGTCCAAATGCAATACCAACCCAGGTCATTATATAATCTTGCTATACACCAAGTTTGATAACAATATCTCATTCCTAACTTTAGTTATTGTCCGGAAACCATTAAATAACTGTGACCTTGACCTTGACCCCAGGGGGTCCAAATGCAATACTAAGCCAGGTCTTCATATAAGCTTGCTATACACCAAGTTTGATAACAATATCTCATTCCTAACTCTAGTTATTGTCCGGAAACCATTTTTCTATTTTTAGTAACAGTGACCTTGACCTTGACCCCAGGGGGTCCAAATGCAATACCAAGCCAGGTCTTAGTGTAAGCTTGCTATATATCAAGTTTGATAACAATATCTCATTCCTAACTCTAGTTATTGTCCGGAAACCATTTTTCTATTTTTAGTAACAGTTACTTTAACCTTGACCCACGGGGTCCAAATGCAATACCAACCCAGGTCTTCATATAAGCTTTCTAAATGCCAAGTTTGATAACAATATCTCATTCCTAATTCTAGTTATTGTCCGGAAACCATTTTTCTATTTTTAGTAATGGTGACCTTGAACTTGACCCCAGGGGGTCCAAATGCAATACCAACCCAGGTCTTCATAATTATAAGCTTGCTATACACCCAAGTTTGATAACAATATCTCATTCCTAACTGTAGTTATTGTCCGGAAACCATTTTTCTATTTTTAGTAACAGTGACCTTGACCTTGACCCCAGGGGGTCCAAATGCAATACAAACAGGAGTTTTCACATAAGGTTGCTATATACCAAGTTTGATTACAATACCTCATTCCAAACTCTAGTTATCGTCCGGAAACCATGATGTGTACCGACCGACCGACCGACAAGCTGACTCCTATATACCCCCCCCCTAAACTTAGTTTGTGGGGGTATAATAAAAACTTTAATCTTTCCCATGCTAAATATCTTAATATAGACTTGTCAAATATCTAGACTTGTCTGTCTTTCAATCTAGACAACAACCATTTGTCATTTTTATGGAGATTTAAAATATATAATTACAGTAGAACTTCGGTAAGTTGAAGGGACTTGCGTAAAAACTTCGACACATCGGGACTTCGACTCATGAATCGCTCTCAATTCCATGACAAAATTTCGACCCGTGTCTAGTCCTAATTATAAGCTCTATAACGAAATATATTTCATGTTTTTCCATCATTAATCTTATCTTTAAATTTTACAATGATAAATATAGCATGTCAAATTACGTTTTTCACGACTACCCAAAGAGTTACAAAAGGCGTATGATTACGAAAGGGCGATAACTAAACCAGCTTATAGTAAATATTTCGCGTGTTATTCTCACGCGACACCGGGTCAAGGATGTTTTCAAATGAAAGTAGTGAAGTAGTTCTTACTGTTTACTTTCAAATACCACTACGGCAATTAAAAAAGTTACGATTAAAGCATTTTATCACATATTTTACCGCAAACAAAGGCTGTTTGAACACACGGCTGTGTTATTAACACCTATCACACAATTGATTGGAAATCGTCTTCGCAGCCAGATAAGGTGTGAAAAATGTCTCGAGGTCAAGGTGTTCAAAACAATCCAACGACTTCGACTTATTTGTGGTAAATTGCACTAGATTTACTTTATACGGACCACGAAAAAACCTCGACACATCGAAAAATTCGACACATAAAATTTCGACTCATAAATAGGTTTTTATAAGGAATATATAGGGGGGAGAGTCGGGACTTTCATTTTTATTCGACACATCGAGAAAATCGACTAATCGAAGTTCGACTCATAGAAGTTCTACTGTATATACAAAGTGACTGAAAAGTAAACATTGCTGACCTTGACCAGATGGCAAGGACGTGTTGGCTTATCTTGGTCAGCAATGGTTGCATGGGTAAATTCAGTTTGCCGCTGGCAGGCTACGGGATAATTATAATATTAATTTAGACAGATCCAATGGGGTTACTTGTTTTGTTATTATTTTGTTATTGCTGAACTATTTTTCTGCCATCATCATTAATCCTTCTTCTTATCGAGTTTACACTCCACAACAACAACAACAACAACAACAACAGAACATTCACACAAGCATTCTATTGCTTGATCAACAACTGTTCTACTAATTCAACACAGATTCTTGTACAGTGCTCATCATCATATCATCAAAGTGTCTATTTTACTTATCTCACAAATGCAGTTCCTCCTTTACAACAAAAGCTGGAAATTCTTTCAAGTTTCCTCGTAAAACAGAATAAAACAATATCTTTTTTCAAGTGGAATGGGGGTATAATAAAAGAAAATTGGAAATAGAAAACACACAAAACCTCTATAGCTTATAAAATGGTTTTCAAGTTTTCCTTAATCATCTTTGAATAGGAAATATTGGAATGATGGTTCTAAGTTCCAACCTCTAAATACTTTACTTTTTGATCACATATAAGTATGCACATAATTACTGACAATATGGGATTTGGCACAAGAAAGAAAGGAAAACATCTCTGCATGTTTGTTTGTTCATTTGTTTCTTTGCTTTTAGATTTTAAGTCATATAGACACACTACGGGTCAAGTCATGAGCTGATGAATTTCAAGTCACAAGAAATAATCTAGGTTAGAGACCTTGACAAAGGTTATTTTTATTATATATTTAATTAATGATACGGAACAAACCATTAAGCATTTTCAAAATTTGTAAATTAAATGCATACACTGTTTCAAGCACCTTGTTTGCTAAATCTGTCTTAGTGGCTCAATGAAAGACTTGCACCTCAGAGCAGCCCAAACATGTTGCAAAATATATAAAACTGTTAATCAGTCTGTTGTAAAAAATCAGATTATAAAATTTTAGCAAACATCAAAGAACCAACCTCACTCATGTTCTGTTATACTGGGGCACTATGAGCACTTCAACTGTTACAATATTCAAAATTCTTTATTTCCAATTATTTAACAAGTCTGACTGTCTAAATGAATGATCATATTTGTTGTCTAAATGAATGATCATATTTGTTTCAGAAAAATCCATGACCAAGAATAATTATTATACTATGCTAGCACTTAATTTAACGGTTCTACATGGGAGTTGCATTTGCAAATGCGCACATTGAATTTCCAATACTACCCGTCACACACAGTGACTTTCTCAGATAATTAAGTTCTGCATTACCAGTTGCACTCTGTGATTAATATACCTTTTGTATACAGTGAATTTTTATTTAGTCCAATTTTAACGAAATCCATTTAAGTAGAATTAACTGATGTAACAAAAGTTAAACTACTTAAAACCATTGTAAAATAACAAGTCAGTAAATTGGCCATCTTTTTGTACACATATCCTTTTCTTAAAACATTCCACATTTACTCCCAGTAGGTTAGAACATATCTTAGTCTTATCAATGCATTCTGTACATTTATTTTCATATTTTCTTAGAAGTGATGGGAGAGAAGTAAATTATTCACTGACACTAATTGATGGCTTGTTATTGAAGGCAATAATCTACCCAGCACTATTTGTACAATTGCAACAAAATATTGGTGCAAATAATAGCCACATTGTGGCTCCCCAGGCCCACACCAATCACTGTTCCCATTAAGCATAATTATTAGCTATTATAGCGTAATTATTAGCCATTATTCGGCAATTACTATCTATGAGGAGAAACCATCATTTTCATATTATAAACCCAGCTCAACTCCTCGAGACCACTGGGTTCCTAGAGATACGTCTTTTGCAGTTTTTATATACTGAATTGAAATTATAAATGAATATTATCATTATTTAATGGAAATACCTATTCAACTTATTAAAATTGTCCCTGAATTTAATACCAACTAAAATCAAAACTATTTCTTTTCTTTCATCTTATCCTTTTCCACTCTGTTAATACTTTATTGGTGTTTTAAGTGTTAGCCAATTCCCCTCAGAGCATGTTTAAGACAAAAATTGAGCCGTAATGTTTAGGATTAAATCCTCTCAAAACTCATCGCCTATCATCATGAAAATTCCATGTCCCTGGCAGGGTTTAAAGCACACTGTTTTGAATGGCATACAATAGACTATTAAAGTACTTAAAAATTACAGCACTTCACATTGCCAAGGATAGGGATTTCCTTTCATGTGTCCCAAATTAAAAGTCAAGCAATTCCATTTATAAAACAAATTTAGCCTTCAAATATATGCTTTTAAAATATATATTCAAATAGATTTAGAAGGAGTTTTATAGTCTTC